CAGAGGGCAGCACACGGTGCGATCGCGCGACCCTGCCCGTGAGCAATCTCCCAACTCATCTCTGCAGGTATATAGTGAACGTATTACAATATGCCAACTTGTAGCCTAGAAAAGTTTAAATATTATGTTTTATGTGGAGGAGTGACAAAAAGAAATAAGTTATAGTAAATAGGAAATATGAAGATGACCTTCCAATTGGGAAGCTGCAAAATTGGCTGACGAATATGGCCGTTCTACCACTCCTTTTTCAACGCGCAGACTCTCCTCGCAGTCTAAAATAGATTGTGAACCATGTCTATATACTCTTACGTCCATGTCCTGTACTATGTCATGTCACTGTTCTCGTTTACAAGTTTCCTTAACGTCAAGTCGGGTCAAGTGCCTAAACTTTTCAAATGACTTATTTAATTTGTATTTGGACCAGTGGATAAAAGAAAAGATCTAATACTCTTTTAATAAGAGTTTTCGACAAGCGATCAGTCCTATTATTCAATCGATTTATTCAATACGCCAGCAGTGCCGTCAAATTAAGGGATCGATTATTTTAAATTATTTGCATTGTCTTTTGCCTAAAATTTAATTGAAATTATTTATCTTCGTTGTTTTGCATAGACATTCAAATGGCGACAAACGCACAGCCTCGCCATATAAATCGTTCTCAACTTAGGTTAGCTCTAACAAATGTAAGTCGGAAACCATACAAAATTATTTTTCCTTTATGAAATGTATTCTACATCTTATTAAATGTTTATGAACTATGGTAGCTAGGTGTGACTTTCATTGTTTATTGTTACATTATAATTTAAAATATTCCAAAAATAATATATGGTCTAGCTTTTCGTTTTGCAAAAAAATTTGCAGGGATTGTTAGGTTTTAGATATCGACTAGCAACCCATTTCAACTTTGTGTGAGAACCCAAATAGTGCTCGTGTAACTATTTTTTCATTAATTTATTTAATTAAAATAGTCACTACTTGGTTTCCTCTTATTATGCATTAAAGTTTAAAAACTCTAAATCTTACTAGAGATATCTTATTGAAAAGTAAACACTAGATCAAAATCTATCCAGTGACATTCGAGATTAGTCAGAACCAACAGATAGACACCTACTGGGAACTTTATTTTATATTACATTGCTCATAAAATTGGAGTGCTAAGTTAACGGAAAATGTTTAACCCGTTAACTACGTAATTTACTATAACGTTATGTGTTACCGCCATGTATACACATTGAACGCAGTTAACTGGTTAAATATATATTAGCCACGTGTCACTTAATTAACAGTAATTGCATCTTTTTATTTAATGCATGTATTGCAGTAAAATTGTATAGTTTTTTAGATAATAGTTGTAGAGATAATTATACTAGCATTTATTTTGGTTTTATTTCATAGTTGACCCTTTATATTGAATAAATAAATAAATATTCATTTTTCACTTCCAGTGTAATTATCAGCAACCAGATGTAACTTGTAACGATATTTTAATAGTACTCGAGAAGTACAGATCTTTACAGTACAGTACCGAATCTTTTGGTGAGTTATTTCTCAAAGATAAGATTTACTATTCTATGAATTTTAATATACCAATAACCAGCTTTTCTGCAACTAGTTTTCAGCGATGGATCATGTAAAGAATTCGTAAAATTGGAGGGGACAATACCCATTAAATATAAGGGTAAATTCATTAAGATAAACATTTTAGTTCCGTTCTTTCTGCTTTATTACACTGTATAAAGTAACATAATTTAATATATTAATTAAATTACATGAACTCTAATGTTTCAAGGTTCTTGTTACAATATACCGATATGTATATGGGTAATGGACACCCATCCTAATAATGCGCCAATGTGTTACGTCAAACCAACCTCAAATATGAGTATTAAAGTTAGTCTCACTGTCGATGGCAATGGGAAAATATATTTACCATATCTTCACAATTGGGCACCAGTAAGTAAAATCGTATGTAATCAATTTTCTGTGTTAAATATATAGAACTAAAATTAAATGTATAACTTCTAAAAAACAAGATTTAATACATGTGACATGCTAACCCATTTAGAACTTGTTTTCTATACGTGAAGTTTTGTTTACAGTGCATGATACCGTATAGACTTCATACAGGTTAAATAAATTGGTCACTTTATTCACCATGTGGATTACTTTATAAACGACATTACAAATTTGTGCTAATATGTTTGAAAGTTTATGGAGTTATTACTGAACAAGCAAATATAATCTAACAATGTTTCTGTAAGTTTTGTGATTATATAAAATTAACAAAACATTTTTAGCCTTTGCCTTTTGAGTAGGTTTTTTGTGTGTACATTGTAATACAGTATGTGGCAAAAAAACAGCCCGGGTTTTTAAAGTTAATCCTTTTGCTACGACGGGTGACTATACTCACCTTACGTTTGGTCCAATATTGCCTGCACGGCCAGACGAATTTCGCCCATATGTCGAAAAGGCTTCATGTTCAAAGGGTTAATTAAACATTATGTTAAATACTATTAAATAATTTATTTTATAATACAAAAGTGTATGGATTACAGTTTATTTTCATTTGGTTTTAAAAATGACATTCTGATAGATCCTCTTTTATATTCATGGACTAAAAGTTTAAAAAATTGCAAAATAGAGGTTTTACAAATTTGATATTTACTGGCATCCAGGATTTTATGATTTGACAGGTGGATTTCTTTTCAAATCTTAATTTATTGCCAAAAAAATTAGCGACTCGTATCAATATAGTTCAATTTTATTCAGAACAATATAGTATAGTTTTGGTCTAAAACAGCAGCATTTCAACCATGATGTAATGGAGACAAGATGTGGTACTGCGCAGGTCTTTTAACAAATTAATCATAGCATACTTCCAAAACGTAGTCATGTTTATTAACCAACCAATGGAAATGTAGCATCTAGTATGAAGTACATTTAAAAGAAAGAAAATAAATAATCATTAAAATCTAAATAATATGAAAAGATCAATTAGAAATATCGTGCAATCATAATATTGTAGGTAAAAAATTATGATAAAATCAGTGGTGTTCATACCAACATATGCTTCAAATTGAGTAATATAAATATTGAATGAATGAAATAAAAAGCAAATGATTGAACTAGGTAATTTCATTATATTCAATATAATTTGATTCACGAATATAAACAAACCATGACTTATTGCAAAAATTGTATACTACACGAAGATTTGAATGCATGTTTTCGTAATACAATAGTCTTTTCATGTATGATTGTCAAGGTCACCCTCCTGAGTGACTTCCACAAGGTTTTAGCTGTTGCTTGTTGTTTGTTAAAAGTTATTAACAAAATAATCTTGATAAGTCGAACGTATGTTTTCGACATTGGGTGTACATGTAAAGACTCAAAACGCAGTACATACGCATTGCATACAAATATTCACACATTTACTATTCTGTTTTAATTTTTCCTGTCGAGATTCTGTTATCACTCAGTCATTATCTCGTTAAATACTTATTTAAAAGAAGATACCATTTCGGTAAATGTCTTAATGTTTTCTTCGGAATTATGAGTTCAATATATCCGTTAAAACAAAATTAGATAATTAAATATCATTAAGTAAATTAGAATCTGATGAAATATTGTAGTTAAAAGATTGTTAACCACTAACCCAACCTAAGCCCAAATCAACTCAATTTAATTTGTTCTAAAAATGTTGAAAATAGTAGCGTATCTATAACTTTATATATCGTATTTATAATGTTTAGAATGATTCATTTGAGTTAATGTGGGTTTAGGTTAGGTTAATAGTTAAAATTCGAGTGTCGTGAGGCCACCGGCTACCAGTTATTTGCAGTAATACACGAGTCTTTAGATATGTATTCAACAACGTGAAACAATCAAACGTACAAAAAGCGACAGCTAAAACCTTATGGAGGGTACTCAGGAGTGTGACCTTAACAATATACGTCAAGGTTAGGGTTAAAAGTACACCCAGTGTCGAAAACATACGTTTAACTCATCAAAATTATTTTGTTAATAACTTTTTAACAACCTAGTGACGGCTAAAACCTTATGGAGGTCACTCAGGAGGGTGATCTTGACGGTATATATTAAGGTCACTCACAAAGTTTCACGTAAATTGACACCAATAAAAATAAATAAATACGTATTCGACACATTAAATATAAAGTAATTCCAATACTACTGTAGTTCTTTGCATTCCTGAATGATCAGAGACCCATTTCATATTTTCAGGATTATTATATAGCAAAGCAATAATTTATCTTTCGTTTAACAATGTTTCCTAATATCAGTTTTGTTTCACAGCATTCCTCGAACTTATGTGGGCTGATACAAGTTCTAATTATGACATTCAGTGAACAACCTCCAGTCTACGCAAATCTTTCGGCTGAACAATTTCCTATAGCATGTAGGTGTCCTTTTTTCTGCGTCCAATTAAAGGTAACATATGAAAAAGTTATAATTGCATCTTATTGCTGATAGCTGGACAAAAACCTCCAACAGCTGATGGCAAGTCTCCTGGGTATCCGACAGGATCGTTTTTCGGACGACAGTATCCTGCGCCATATCCGCCGATGCCAGGATTTCCACCCTATTCTAGTATGCCATATCCCGGAACAACTACGGACTACACACCCGCAGGAGGGCAGAACTTTCCATTTCCTTATTCAGTTCCATATCCCCCAGCTACTCAACAAGTATGTAACGCAACACTTTATTCGTTGTTTATTAGAAACTCATTAAATTGATTATTATATTTCATTATTATAAACCCATTATGAAATGGACAAAGAAGCAACTACGATTTTAGATGAGTAGTAATGAAACATACTATGATACTACCTGTAAAGGTTCGCGCGACTCGGTTGAAATTTAGTTACATTCTCTATTCAGAATACTTTTCTCAACCGAATAATTACGGATGGAATCAAAGTTGGGACCCATATCTTTTATGTGCTAATTTATTATGTTCTCGATATTTCCTACACGAATCTCTAATTACTGTAGCGTTCTAAATTCGTATGCCTAGGACGTGAAAATCATCGTTTTGGATTGTAAATTTTCAAAAGTCGTAATTTATAAAAAAAATTGTCGCTTCGAGTCTGGAACACATTAAATAATTTTTTTAATGAAATTTCATTAGTCACGTTCTTCATTAGGGCCTTCATAATTACGTGCTATAGTTTAAAATGATTCGGTACACCCCGTTTAAAGAAAAATGTTATAAACATTTTGACGGTTCAGTAGTGACTTTTATTTCATCCGAAGAAGACATAAAATTTCAAATAATTGTGGAATACTTTTTGTCATGATGCTTTATAAAGAATTGTTCTATCTTCTGAAATGAAAAATGATTCACATTATTGAAATTGTTGATCGATAACACATCAATTTTCGGATGCTTTGAAAAATCAGATCATCCTAAATCATTTTCTGAAGTATTGTCCATAATGGGGTATAGAAATAAGTAACATTATTCTGTGAGCACAATTCTATTTTGGTCTTATACTATGTTTAGTTTAAATATTGGGTTGTCCGGGAACTTCGTGCCGATTTTTAAATCCTAATGCCACCTATCGAAAATCTGCACGAACTGTCCGGAGAACCCAATATAATGCTCAATAGTAAGTTAATAAAGATTGAGTAAATATGACTAATATATGTATTATTACTTGGGATTATTTGTACGTTTCATAGATTATACCATTTGATGTATAAATTTATGAAAATAGTTAAGTTAAAAACATAATTCTTTAAGTCACCAACGGTACCAGCTGGTTCAGGAGGCAATTCTGGCACAATTACGGAAGAGCATATCAGAGCTTCTCTTTTATCAGCTCTCGAAGATAAATTACGACGCCGGCTGAGGGAACAGTTTTCTCAGTTGCAAGCTGAACTAGAAACCCTCCGTCGAACGCAACAAGAACTAACAAATGGTTCAGCTCAGCTTGAAGACATATTTAATAAGCTTAGAAAAGAAAAGTCCGAGCTGGAAAAAAACATTAATATTCTGCAAGATAAAGAGGCTGAATTGCAGAAGGAAATTTCAAAACTCTCGGACAATCAGTCAATTGACGTTGACGAGGCTGTAACCACTATTGCACCACTGTATAAACAGTTAGTACTTTTGCTGAAGATACCATTTTATTGAAATGTTCTTTTCTTTATCAATTTTCCATTTTAATTTTCTTTTTTGTTTTTCTAGAATGTTGAACGTCTTTGCCGAGGAAGCTGCTATCGAAGATGCTATTTATTACCTTGGAGAAGGACTAAGAGGGAATATTATTGACTTGGATGCTTTCCTAAAGCAAGTAAGGCAACTCTCTCGAAGACAATTTATGCTCAGAGCATTAATGCTACGCTGTCGGCAGAAAGCTGGGTTGGTTGGATAAAGTCATGTGAATATATATATGAATGCTTATCGACACACGCTTGAGCATACTCGATGTACCGTTTTACCTAGAAAATATTTTATTATTAAAGAAGCAAGATTATATTTAGTCGAAGAAGTATATACTTTTATGTATAAGGAACCTTAAGAAACCGCCTTAGTATATTTTCAATATGTACTTGAATAACGGAGACTATTGTTTATGTAAAATTTAAGTTTTCAGTTCTGCATTTTATATGATCATGTTATCCATATAGGTACGTTCTCTGAAAATTCATGCATAAATAAAAAAGACGTTTACATTTGAAAATGGCTGTATTTACAAGGATCCTTTTGGGTAAGTACAGATAGTGACTTAACGATATAAATCAAGTATCAAAGATTATACGTACAGCCGAAACGATCATAAAATTTGAATCGGTTTCAGTGGAATCATGAAAATCATCTAAATGAATTAGTAACGACTCGTCAATACATAAGCAAATCAGTTTTAATAATCTGAAACAGAGAATTATGTCAATGAAAATATTCATCTAAAGTTTTGACATGTCTTTTAAGCAACAATGTTTTACCTAAACATATATTCCAACCCAAAGCAACAGAAATAAAACGCCAAAACTGGAAAATATGGCAGCAACTAAAGATACAAGAAGTTCTTTGAAGATATCACGTGTGAATTTTGTGCTGGTGACTTCATAAACAAAGAACCACGCGGTGAAGAATATTCCAATTCCCAATAATATGATTGCTAAAAGTGGGAAGATCGCTGGGCTCACTGGGGAGACATATCTTGTCATTGACTCTATTTCAATCTGCAATGAATTAGAAGTATCTGTTAATAAATAAAACTAAAATGATGACGTTTATAAAACATTATCCTAACCTACAAACATTCTAAACAACTGTGTTCATACAATAGGTTGAAACTAAAAAATAAAATATAACCGATGGACGCATTATTGCTATCCTTTAAAATTAATTAATTAATATCTATCGTACCATGTTTACAATTCCACTTTCGTCACTTTATAGATTGTGATTTCTATATAAATCTGCAGCACAACCAACGTCCGCTTTCAGAATCGATTGACGTGGCTCATTCAAGACCCAGTTCCACAACTCGAATTAAGTGGAATTTAATTGGTTTACACCAGATTGAAACCGGGTACAAAGAATTCAGAAGTCTCCATAGAAGCCCAGAAGGATTAGAGTTCGAAAACTCTCGGTAACATTAAATTGGAGAAGGTAACTGTGAAACATACCGTAAGTTACCGGGAACATTGAGAATTTAAGAGAACGTTAATTTTGTTATTTATACTTTAGGTTTCTTCGTTTAAATAACTTTTTTTTTTCAATCAACTTCAAAGTTCAAGCTATAGAGTAATAATTACTATTAGGAAATATTGATTATAGGGTCGTATTTACCTCCAACTAAAAATATTCACGTATCTACAACTTCACGGAAAATTCCACGCGATTTGTTTCAAATGAACTAATATTTCATTCTGCGACGAAGCGAATGGGAGGTTTTGATTGGCTACGGAGAACGTACAACGGAAATTCCCCTCTACGATGTTTCTCTATAGCTAATCGAAACCTCTCGTTCGATCTGTTGAAAAATTCAAATTCTCATAATTTATCGATAAAAAAGGCTTTGGAGAAATTACCGATAAATTACCGGGAATTCCTCTTTGTTTCTGACGTAACTTACTGGATTTAGAACTCTAAGAAGGATACGGACGTTTGATGCTCGATAAATAGTATGTTAGCCAACGGATGGCGGCGCTGTAATCATCTCTCCATCTCTCTTAATCTTATGGCGATATGCAGCGAATTGCATTCTTTCTTTATTTTACACACAATACTCGCCTTCCTATATGCGTCTCTCTTCCTCCCGTATGTGTGATATCATTAGCTAACACATGCGATCTCTCTTTTACCCCCACTTCTAATTTGTTAGCCAACTTTTAGAGCATCGACCGCTAACATAGGATCTGGGCTTCTATGGAACTTCTGAATTTTTTACCGAGTGTAAACAAGTTAAACTTCGATTCACTCGGGCGTGGAACCAGTGCAGCCAACTTCGGTTCTGTTTGCTCTAGTATGTGAACTCGTTACACTTAAGTGCCGAAAGTGCTGACAACGCGAACAAACGTAATGTAAAAAATCGAACGACCTATTCAAATCTCGCGCCACGGTTTGACGTGGAAATAGGCTACCCCCCTCATTTTGTGGTTTCACTCCCCCGTGTATAAGTTACCATCTTATGCTCAGTCCCCTGTATTCCTATATCCATGGATCAGGGACACTTCAGAATATTGTATTGCCTTTAATTAATTTTATTTGCCTATAAATATATTTTTTCTTTAACAAATCCATTCCGTACTACCTGGCGATTGAAATTTTGCGTCCTTCCCGCCTCTAATACGTTGCGTGACCGGAGGTAGCAGCACCTTCACAGGGAAGCCTAGAGTTCTAAATCCAGTAAGTTACGTCAGAAACGAAGAGAAATTCCCGGTAATTTATCGGTAATTTCTCCAAAGCCTTTTTTATCGATAAATTATGAGAATTTGAATTTTTCAACAGATCGAACGAGAGGTTTCGATTAGCTATAGAGAAACATCGTAGAGGGGAATTTCCGTTGTACGTTCTCCGTAGCCAATCAAAACCTCCCATTCGCTTCGTCGCAGAATGAAATATTAGTTCATTTGAAACAAATCGCGTGGAATTTTCCGTGAAGTTGTAGATACGTGAATATTTTTAGTTGGAGGTAAATACGACCCTATAATCAATATTTCCTAATAGTAATTATTACTCTATAGCTTGAACTTTGAAGTTGATTGAAAAAAAAAAGTTATTTAAACGAAGAAACCTAAAGTATAAATAACAAAATTAACGTTCTCTTAAATTCTCAATGTTCCCGGTAACTTACGGTATGTTTACAGTTACCTTCTCCAATTTAATGTTACCGAGAATTTTCGAACTCTAGGGAAGCCATCCCGTTCTCCAGTGGACACATTGGCAAAGATGACTTTTCTCTGTCTTCTCTGCGGTTGCATCAGTCCCCTGTATTCCTATGTCCATGGATCAGGGACACCTCAGAATATTGTATTGCCTTTAATTAATTTTATTTGCCTATAAACATATTTTTTCTCTAACAAATCCATTCCGTCCTACCTGGCGATTGAAATTTTGCGCCACTCCAACCGCTAATACGTCGCGCGACCGGAGGTGGCAGCACCTTCACAGGGAAGCCATTCCGTTCTCCAGTGGACACGTTGGCGAAGATGACTTTTCTCTGTCTTCTCTGCGGTTGCATCGAATAATAAATCCATAGTATGAAATGAAGTGTTCGTACTGTGTTGCAGTGTTCCGTGGTGATACCGTTAAATAAGAATTTTTGTTGTAGCCTGACAGCGCTCATTGGCGCTTATTTGGATAAATTTCCGGGCTGCGGTTGGTTCAGCTCGGTACGCAAAATTACCTCAACGGTGGATTCACGATATATTGTTGCTGGACGCCGTATCTTATTTATTATGAGGCAAAGAAGACGCGCGAACTGCGGCACGTTCATTTACCCTGGTCAGCCCACAACTGCAATACCAGAGTGACACCCCTCCGTTGGAGTGGCTTCAGGGAGCACTTGCTTCACGTATAACCTTTTCATCTGTCAATATGTCAATATTTTCGTAACCTTCCCATACCAGATGTTTCTGCACGATGTCATTACTTGCTATTTATTTGCACCAAAGTATTCCTATTCATTTTAATATTTCTGTGTTTACATGACATGTTTTTTAGGACTTTTGTCACATGTTTCTAGATAAAGATGAAGAGTTTTAATCTCTGACTTTTAAAACTTACATTTTCTCATGTTTCTATTAGTTATTTGCAAATCTTTCTGATGCAGCAAAAGTAATTTTCAAGTATATAGACTTGGTCATAGTAATCGGTTTAACGAACCGATGCTTATTTGTTTTATCACTAATCAGTTTTGGAGTAAATGTATTACAAGTAATAAAATGTTCTATAATCTGATCTAACCCTCGGTCCATGACGTGGTTTTTGATGAACGTAGCTCATGTTCATGGGTCGTTCTTGTCTTGGGTTTATTAAATAATGTTAAAATTGTGTAAATGACGGCAAGTCGTACCAAAATATTCATTGAACCATCTAGAATAGAAAACAATTTAGAAAAGAAGAAATATTTAAATAATTTAAATAAATTACAATTGGAGAAATGTTTCGAGATGTTATAAGTAACAGATTTCGGCAGATACAAAAGACCCACTGACATTAGCTGAGTGTTAATGGTCTAAATAGAAATAATCATGTTTGCTGTCTGGTTTAATCAAAATGTATTTTATGTAAAATGATCGTTTTGATCGTACAGGTCTAAATTTGATTTAAATAAGTCATGGTTCGGTATATAACTTTTCATTTGTGAACCCATTAACACGTTGACTGCCACGGTGGTCGTTAAGTAACTGGCAACCGCCTTGCAATAGTACACGTTATTTGTTTTGGCAGTCAATGTGTTAATAGTTTCATGTTGCTTTACATTTTACAACAAAGTAAACCAATTGATTTATAATTATCTGTTTGCAAATATGTACATTGACAAATATGAATGTCTTTCTTGCAGTTGTGGTACTATCCGTGTACGACGGAAGAGCATATATACTCACTAGCGATTATCTTGCGTTTAGGTGCTAGAGTTATTTTGGTATGATTCACAAATTTTGTTTATATGGAAGGATTCAACATAAGTATACTTTGTATGAATAATTATGATTTCAATATTATTTTAGGTTCATTGTGATTACTTTGAAAAGAGCAGGTTATATGATCAAAATCAGTTTAGCTGCATTGAATTGTACCAATAAATTGTTAATATCTTATTAGCTAATTGGTTTGTTATACAAATAAGCATTGTTTTCCTCAAATTCAATTTATGTAGGTGACTCAAGGAAATTTAAAAGCAGATGATACCAACTCAGTCTAGGTGTTGATTTACATATTTTATTAGTTGTTTTTGATACTTTTATCTTTCTTCGTAAAAGGTCTTAATATTTCAAGACCTTTACATTTAGTTTCACCATCGCTGGCATGTTACCTTACTTCGATAAAAAGCCAGTTTGTTTTTATCGTGTATGTTATATATGGGAAATATCAAGAAGATATGAAACGTATTGAGAAAATGAATAAACATTGGAATAAAATTCATCTATGCCCCTTTCGTGGTAACACCATTTTGGATATCTGAGTGATAACAAACTGACGTGCCATGTTATCGACATAATTATTCGTGTTGACAACTGTTACATTCTACATTTAAAATGAAACGAAATAAAGTATTCCATTTACCATTTTGGTAGAACGATTAAAAAGAGATCAAAGTAAAACTGAAAAAATCTCTTGGATTCGTGATTTTTTATATTCTAATCAACCAACGGCGTGTCAAGATTAGCAGCAACTAGATTTTTATTGTAAGAGCAATTACAGGGCACGTGTTGTTCATGGGATATCCTTGAATTTCACTATATTCATTTATAAAACTTCTCGATATTTCCCACATGAATATCTAATATTCAATTACTACAGGGTGTTACAGAACCGGTAGTCACTGTTTATACAACACCTATCGTTGTTGAAAAAGGAGTCGAAAAGTTCTGTACATTTTTTTCCTACGGTGCATAAATTTCCTGTAATTACTAATCGAAGCACAGACAATGAATCACGTTCCCAAACGGAACGCCTAGCAGAGAGGACGCTGGCAAACAATTCAGAAGTTCCATAGATGCCTAGATCCACATGAACACTTGATGCTATAAAAGTTTGCTAATAAACCACGAGTGGAGGTAAAAGAGAGGTCGCATGTTAGTCAATGGTATTTTACATACTGGAGGAAGAGAGACGTATACAAAAAGTTGAGTACTGTCTTTAAGATGAAGAAAGAATGCAATCCGCTATATATCGCCGTAAGATTAAGAGAGATGGAGAGATGATTATAGCTCCACCATCCGTTGGTTAACATATTGTACTATTTAGTGAGCATCCAACGTCTGTATCGTTCTTGGCTTCTATGAAGACTTCTGAATTCTTTGACGCCGGTAGGGCTGCGTTCGGCTGCTGCGGCGTAGCATCCATATCGGCGTTTTCTCCGCTATGGAGGAACATCTGCGTTGGGGAACGGAAGATGTAGATTGATTGGCTGTGCTTCAATTAGTTATTACCGGAAATTTATGTACTGTAAGAAAAAGAAGTACAAGACTTTTCGACTCTTTTTTCAACAACGATAGCGCTGTATAAGCCGTGACTACCGTGACGTGTAGTTCTGTTACATCCTGTCTAGCGTTCGAAAGTATTATGCTTATATCCTGAAAGTCATTGTTTTCGATTCTAAGTTTTCAAATGCCGTAAAATATTAAAAATATGTGTTGATAAAACCATCTTGGTCCCGGTCACTTCAGAAAAAAGTTATATAAATATTTTGACACTTCAGAGATCACTTTCATTTTACCTTTAGGTACCTGTAATTTAATTCATACTTTGGAAAAAAAGCCATTTTTAATGGCATAAAATTGGTGGTCTTTTTTTTTTTTTTCAGAAATCTTTGAATTATAAATGCTATGATAGTGACTATGCTTTGTAATTGATTAACACATATGTTAAATTTGGGGTAACAACTACAAAATTAGCATTACCCCAGTGAACACTATTATATAACAGTTGGGTAAATGTTACGTTTTCAAAACTAACACGTTATGTAGCATAAAAGTAACACGGAAGTTAGATGTTAGTTATTATTTCCCACTCGGGAAGGTAACATGTTATATAACATGTCATGTTAATGTTATAAGTTCAGTTACCTTAAAATAATATTAATTTTTCATACATTTAATAAAAAATGATCAATAATTTTTTATTTTTAATTATTTTTTGGTACTTGACAATAGTTAGATATCAAATGACAAATCAGACTTTCAATGAAATTATGTAAATGATAAACTATCTGATTTTACTCAAAGACTATTATGATTTCATTCGACTAGCCAACAATTACTGATAATGTATATGCGCGTACGAATTAAAATCACATTTTTTCATACGGGTAGTAAACAAAATATGACATATATTAATCTTATGACATTTGACGATTAATTATGACTTGAATTTTAAAATTCTGTTACCAGAATTGGATTCACCACCCGAGATTACCGTGAGAAACTCATTTTTATGAAAATCCAACAATTTATATTTTTTTTCCGCCATGTTGGATTTGCGATTTTGAATTAATAAGTGTTGTTGCCGTATTTGAATTCAGCGGTTATAAAAACCATGCGTTTTTTATCACAATCCAATTATTTTGAAATCCTGTTAGTGATCCTAAAAATCTAGAGAAACTCTTTTTCCTTATAAGAACCCAATCATTTTTTAATTTTTTGTTCTCCACGTTAGGTCTACTATTTTGAATTAAAAAATTATATTGTTAGATTTGAATTTAGTTTAGATTTGATTTTAAAGCTAGGGTGAGCACTATAATTCATATTCGTCCCGCGAGAGACGATATCGAGTGACACTGAAAACTCTTATGCATGTTATCCATCATGTTTGTGTGACAATGATAGTCCGTGGTTTGGTCAATGACGATAACAGTCAGTGATCTTGAGCGTACGTAAAAATTGAAATTGTTATATCATTGCGTAGATCAGGGTCGGGTAAATTTGAACAAGTAGCTGAATTCTTGCTTGATTTTTGTAGCTATTCAAATTTATATTTCTTCTTCCCTAATATTTACGGGAGCATATTTCATTTTCTCCCACTCCTGAAAATTAGATCGTTGGTGCATAAAGTACTTGGTACACTGTGAAAAGAGGTTTCGGAAATTCTAGAATTATTTATAATACCGTATAGTAAAACGACAAAATTGTTAAATGTATCAGAAAACGGTTAAATTTCGCGCTAAATACATTAAAAAGCATGCGCATTCATAACGCAAGATGCATTGGAATGTTCGCTAGTTCGCTAGTGCATGTTGTGGATTACTACACGGAAATGGAATTATTCCAACGGACAGAGTTATAAAGTTGGATGCTAAACCATATAGGAACCATGGCCCAAATATATCAATTCCGTATATCTAATGTATCCGAGTAGTTAGGTACAGATATTTCATGAGTAGAAAAACTTGCTGTAGTATGTTTGAGTTTTCCAACGGTAGAATAGTATAATTTAAAATCTAAACGGAACCCATTGCCGGACAATGTAGTAACTTTCAATTAAAAACGAATGACTACTTCGTCAGCCGTTATTACAAAGTTTACGTTATTGTTGTAGGATAAGGACTCCTCAGTCGCGAATCAAATGTTTTGAATACTATAAACACTTTTGAGAAAACAGTTATATACAAAATTTTAAAGATTTTAAAAGTTTTATAGATTGATTATACCCGCTTGTCCATGTGTGGTGGGGTCAAGGTGACATAGAAAGCAACATGATTTTTTCAAAACGGAATACCCCGTTTTTTATCAGACAGTGTGGGGCAGTGTGGAGTCTTTCCAAAACACTGGCTGATTACCTATTTCTGTTGAGTATTGGCTGAGTTATGTTATGTTTTAGCCTCATTTACAGTGAGCAAAAAAATCCCATTTTAGAAAAAAAAGAATGTCTTATTTCAAACGGATATTTATTGGTTACTATCAACAACCCAAATTGAAACGTTGATCGAAAGAAATTAATATAAATTTTAAATAATACTCAATTTTTTAAGCTCAGCTTTATCAAAACTGTTTGATTCATAATCGTTATGCTCTCTGTTGCGATGTGATTTCCGTTCCAACTTTCGGCGCCCGGTTTCTATCACTCTAGATTTGTGCGCCAGTCGGCACCGGGCGATACTAAATAATCACGAGCTCTAACTGTCGCAATAACTACCAGGTGTATAAGCTTAAATCCGCTGTTTGCTCATAGATTGAGTTAGTGAGCATATTAAGATACTATGGACACGGCATACTTTTGTTTTGTATGAATTTGACGTCTGTCAACAATATTAAGTGCACATCATCAGCAATTTCGTACAATAACATACATTTTTCCTTCGGTAATCATGTCTAGTTTTTTGTCAGAAAAAGAGCATATGCGGGAAGCTCTGCTTTTCTGCATCAATTTGAAGAAATCAGCTGACGAATCGCATCGAATGCTCGTGGAGGCCTATGGCGACAGTGCTTTAACGGAAACAACGTGCAGAAATTGGTTTCGTCGGTTCAAAGACGACAATTTTGACCCGAGCGACAAGAAGCGTGAAAATCAGCCCAGGAAAGTTGAGGACCGTCAATTGCAGGCTCTTTTGGACGAGGACGATACCCAATCGCAAAAAATGTCTGCCGAGAAATTGGATGATACTCGACCGGCCATTTCCATGCGCCTATTTTAAGGTTATCCTTGGGATCGTGCTGAATAGGTGTCGCAAATAGTCGTTGAGTCGTGAGTGAGTGAGGAACAACGAACGGGCGGCAGTGTGTTGTTCGCGAGGCATTGATGGTGTCGGAACCATCGTGTGGGCCCGTCGCGTGTACGACTTGGTGAAGTGCGGATGGAAGCGATACTAGAGGTAGGAAAGTGAAGATCGAGGAGGCGGCCGTCCCGGTGAAGCCGCTGAAGAGTCGTCGAAGACGAGAGAGCAGAGCACCGAATGAGGGAGTGGAAACCTAGATGGAACATCATGAGAAGACTCAGTCCGCCTTCCACCCTACTAATAAGTACCGTAGAATAGACAGCGAGGACCAATAGATTCGTGGTGGGCCCAGTCGGGGGCCGCTATGCCTTGGTGTCAGGGTAACTGGATGCTTGGGTGTGTGGCGCGTCTCATGTCGAGCTATGGCTCCATATGTTCGCGTGTCCGTGCCCCGGTCTGGAGGTATGCGGCGTGATCTATGTCGAGCTATGCTCTATGTTCATGTGTCCGCGTCCGGGATCGGCGGTTGCTCGATATGGTGCCTGTGGCGCGGTTTCCCTGATCGGGTGGAGTCAGAGGGGGATAGGCATGATCGGGGCGCTCGGTGCGTTGTCCCGATGTCCTGGCGCGCGGGGCCGGTTCTACCTGGTGCTCGGGCGCGTGGCGTGTCTCATGTCGAGCTATGCTGTATGTGTTCGTGTATCCGCGCTCCGATCCGACGCCGTGTTCTATGTCGAGCCATGCTCCATGTTCATGTGTCTGTGTCCGGGTCCCGGGGGGTGATACCAGGTCAGTAGCGAATTTTCCCCGATCGTGCCGCGTACAGTGTCGTAATGATCGCTCGATGGCAAGAGCTTTTTCAAGTACCGTAATGATCGCTCAATGACAAGAGCATTCCCAAGTGCCGTAATGACCGCTCGATGGCAAGATCATCATCCCCATGTGCCTCAATAACCGCTCAATGGCAAGAGCCTTAGGATAGTACGGAATTAATTTAAGAAGAGAAGATGAAATGTAATTTGGTGAAGGTATCGCTATTATAGCAATAAAGTAATCCCGTGTATGTCGTTTGTCTGCTTTTCGTATTTACCCTCACTAGTAGGGCACCCGGTTCCTGGTGACCGCTACGGACACCCAGGATGGGTGATAGCCGTGCCTTGCCGCTACGGGGGTGCCTAGCACTGTGACCTAGCGATGACGAGGTCTGGTACTTAACATTACTTACGCGCGACCGCGGCATCCTTGTTGCTACCGATTTCTCAGAAAGATCCAAAAATGGTGAAGCTCTAATTAACAGGGACCGTCCGCCTCCTAATTGTTTCCCTAATTAATCAAAAAAGGTCGTATGGCCCGTATCGTAAATTCAACGAGGATCGTTGTTTTTCGTCGCTCTCGTCCTTCCACTCTTTATCTCACATTCAAACTTTCAACTTTCAATTTTAAAATCTCAATGGGCTCTCTGTGTCGGCACTCGCTAGTGGTCTATCCAAGAAGAAGGAGCCAGGCTCCCTTTGTTTTTTTTTTTACCCGGCGGACCGGGCACACGACCCCGGCCCTTTCCACCATTCGATAACCGATCCGATCGGGCGGAGCTTCCGAAAATTTCGGCCATTGGTCGACGGCACACGCCTCGAGTGGCGTGTGTCATTAACCGTTTTAGTGCCAGGGGTTTTTAAAAATCCGCGTCGGATTGTGCCATGAAACACGATAGCGTTGCGAATTGACGATCGGGACCATACATTGCGACACAGTTCACCACAGTACGCGAAAAGCGCGATCGCGTTGCGTGGCACTAAAACGATTACAGTCGAATCTATGCCATCCGTGGATCAATGACCCAGTTAAGCGAATCTAGTTCTGATTGGCTTGACCCCCTGCAAGGCCCGTCCGGGACGGTAACGCCGCAATTTGGGCCGCCACCGCATCCCACGTGCGCGGCGCCCATCCCTCTTTACTGACCACACACTGGCTCTCGGGCATCCGCGTGTCCACCATGGGAGCCTTAACCTCGAGGCCCGTACCGCGACGGATATTGGGGTCTCGTACCCCACACTCTGCAAAATAGGGCTCCGTACTCTTCTCCCGTGGAAATTCCGAACTTCGGCAGGGCGGCAGAATTCAAACTATCAAGAGAGACGGTTCGCTTAAGGGCGCTCACCACTCCAGCGATTTCACAGGGCCTCACAGGGACAATGATTCCGAACGTATTTATAAACCGATCGAGCTTAACGAGTGCTCATATCGAAGATGAAACGTTGACCTGTGTTTATATGGGAGCGATTTTCGATAAGTGGACATTTTAATATAAAAAAGTGCAACGACATAATTTCAATGCCCTTTTACCTAGGAAGGAGGTGCTCGATCGAAAATCGCTCCCATATAAACACACGTCAACATTTTATCTTTAAAATGAGCACTCGTTGAGCTCGATCGGTTGAGAAATACGCTCAAAATCGTTGTCCCCGTGGAGCACCTTTTTCAGGATTTTTGAGTTTCTCGCGAGGAATTTGGGCATTCCTTGGCAACCGTTGCCGACTCCAGGCGGAGCGTCCACCTGGCGTGTGCGTGCGGACGGGGGTCACACACGTCTCGGCGCCTAGTCCAGAGGCGTCTAGCCGTTGCGTGAGTCCTATACGTGCAAAATACGCACACATTTTTCGCTCGTTGCTAAACACCGCCCATTATGCGTCGCGTCTCCCTCATTCGAGCGAGAAAGTACGTTTTGGTTACCTCCCACCGAATTCGATGCTAATGCCATCTAGCGGTGGAAGTCAGCATCCCCACTTTGGTGGTGAACGCCGTTAATCTCCATCACTGATAGATGAACACTATTGAGAAGCTGTTCTTTGTTTACGGACAATCCTTTTTCACTCATGTGGAAGATTCACTCAACGAGATGTTTTTCTTCAGTTGTCGTAAGAATCGAGCTCGGCCCCATGGTTGCAATCAGCGGAGAAATATTCTTAATTTTGCCGAATAATGTGGTTAGCCGCACTACATATTTAGCAGCTGCTTTTCTGAATTAATTCAGTTAGCACATCAGCAACAAGCAGACATCAGAAGCAATGTAATCTTTAAATTAAAAAGATAAACAACTTTTCTAATACATATCGCATATACCACGAGATTTATTAAACATATGTTATCAATAAAGAGTACTTACCAAGCTATTTTTCACGTAATATTCACGTATATTATACCCTTTACGATCGACAGTTAACGTCGGCTGTCTAATTTGATTTAAATAGAGCTGCTTAAATCAGCGATCCCAATACAGCATCGTATGCAATATTTGGTTACTAGGGCTACCCAACTATGCACAACTATACAGGTATTCGGATAGTATTCCAATACTGGTACATCAAATGTTTTGTTTGTTCGGTAACAGAACGCGAACATTATATTGTTAAATACAGTTTTACACGAAAATAAAGAACTACATTGGATACTCTATTTCTTTCTCAACAAAATAAGCTATAATTTTTCCCGAAAACACGTAAAAGTTAAATGATAAGTGCTCTCCTAATTCCTTTGCATTTTCGATAAGGAATACGTTGAAATTACCTCCGCAGCGTGCAGACCTGAATAAACATCTAACATTAAATTATAATCCACGTAGAATGGTAATTAATTATTTCCCTACACGTCAATTACATATTGACAGTCGTTTCACAATTTTTACAATTGAAATTTTATTTATGGAATGCTATTTAAGGTGGTATTCGGCCATTAGTATCCTTACCTTAAGTGCATACATTTTTTTCAAAAATCTAAATTTTGAAAGTGTCAGGATAATTGTTAGGTGCTCACGAGTCATGTGTCAAAGTTTCAGACAGTTCGGTTCAATGCCGTTCAAAAATAGTGTCTTCTTCAAATCGACTGATTTGAGGGGGTATTCATTTAACCTTAAATTTCGACTTTATCTCAGTTGTTTAACTACATCTAATTTTTGTTATATGTCATGCAGGTGTAAGCTGTAACGAAAATTTGTTAGCCACTTCAAAACATGCGAATTAAGTGAAGACGCACAGTCTCTCACAACTAAGGCCGGCATGTTTGTGAAAATTTGGCTTCGCATTCTGACGTGGGATGAATGAGGAAGAATTGTTGAAACGGTCAGCTGCAGAGCGGGATAGGATATTCAGCTGCTATGACCGCGGTAGAGAAAATGGTGCTCAAATTGACTCCTGGGAGGATCCTGGATACGAGGTTTATCATACCACAGATAGATATGGCTTCATACAGTAAGTTGTATTATGTACATTTCTTAGGAATATAGTAACAAATATAGGGAATATAAAACAGACACTTATTGGTTACTTCCTGTCTTAAGTTAATGCGAACGAGGTTCAGTCAATATCACATTTCTCAGCTTTTCAGCACCCATTCTTCCCTGTTTAGCAGAATTCGAATCTTTATGAAGTGCATGCAAATACAAAAATGGCCTAGGAGTGGTCATAATGTTTTATTAAACGGGCTCCAAAAGTCATTCCGTTGAACTACGATTCTGTTTTGGAATTTATTTTACTTCGAATTTACATAATAATTTGTCAGTAAACGTGTAAGTCTCAAAAGGATGTATTGTATAATTCGTACATCGGGACAATAATCGATCAATAATCACGTTTCAGTTAAATACTGCGACGTGGTTTTTGCCATCATTCCGACGCACTGATTCTATCACACTAGACTGGGCGATAGCTGCCTCCGGGCAGCCCTAAATCACAGAAATGTCCACCTATACTTTCTGAAATATTCAAAGTTGTAAGTTCCCGGCTTAGACAGCGCTACTTAATATGCGACACGCGGTCGCATACTCCCCGTTGCTACTGCTTTCAAAGAACGACGGGGTTCTATTAATTGAGCCGCTCAGTGCACACATTGATTAACTCCATAAAACAAAAAGTTGAGAAATGCGATGAAGTAATGTAGATTCTTTTTTAAAATTCCTATTATAATATAACTTCAAATATATAATGTAGAATACATAAATACAGTTATAGTTTTCATCTAACGGTATATAAAATTAATAAGAAAGAATAGCCAAAAAATAATCGTCTGCATTTTATATCGACAAATGTTTTTGCAGGTATTAAATTTCCTCCCCTATTCCTGTATGCCAAACCTTTTGTTCCGTTATGCTTTTGTCAATTTCGTGCCCATTTATCAGGATTACGACTTCTTTTCCTCCCAATCGATGGGTTTGTTGGGGAATTTGTACCGTTGCAATCAGATGAATCCGAGAAATACGATAATCGTCTTCTTGCCCCAGACTTTGTGCTGATAAATCGTATTGAAGAATCATCCCTGCTTTCCACATCCACATTGTTATTAGTTTCACTCGTCTTGATTATAACGGTATAATATTTAGTTATTTAAAAACAATCAGGGAGTAATGTTGAAAAGACCAAAAAATATGTAATCCGTGTAATATTGGTGAAGTATACGGTAACATTCAGCGTGAGAGATCCCTGTTATACTAACTACCGTCTACATTGCGCTTCTTTCTATCTGTTTGCTAATGCGATTTTATTACTCATATTGTTGAAAGGGGAAAAGCATCTTCGGCTGTTTAAAAAAAAAAGCGTCGATGTACGGCCGCAACAGATAATCCAATAATACTATAGTGCCAGGTATTCGTCTACGATTTACATTAGAGGATGGAGTTAATCAAAATGTCTTCTGAAATAAATTACTCATTATTCAATGCCCAAAAAAATTTTGCCGTTTAATGGGGTTAATCTCTATTAATCAGGAAAGATATTATAAATATAAAAAGTTATGACTATACCAAGTGCTTTGACCCCTAAATTTAAGATTTTTCAAAAAGTGGAGTTAGTCGATGTGTGCACTGAGCGGCTCAATTAGAGACCATCCACCTCCTAAAGGATTCTTAACCAATTCAAACACAAAGCTATATGGCCAATACGTCATTTACTGTCGGTTTTCTGCTTCTCATCGCCTCCCCTCCCGCATAGCGCAGAGGATGCCGGTAAGGCAGACAGCCGAGCGCAGCCTTACCGACGTTCTCTTCGTTATGCGTTCCGTTGAGGAATACGATTGATTGGCTGTACCTCAATCAATTATTACAAGAAGATGATGTAGTGTAGGACAAAATAGTACAGGACTTTACGACTCCTTATTCAACAAGGAAAGTGCTGTCTAAACCGTAGCCACCATTTCTGTTACACTCTGTATATTGTTCCCTATTAGCTATACAAGAATATATGAGGTCACGTAGATATCTGCACATGATCACACACCATTATATCTTGATTATATACAGTTCTAAACAACCATATACGAAAGGGTACATGATTGTATGGAATTGCATATCGTTATGTACAATTATTTTTTCTCGGGCGGGTACCCGGTTACTGACATAAGAATTAAGCTCAGCTGCCCTATGTCTACTTGACTCGGGATCATTACATTTTATGTACATAAACATGTTAGACTGAAAAGTTAATGTACTCCAAATAGTGAAAGACTTTGAAATAATTAATAATATTCTTGCATCAAACTGAAATTTACCAGTATGTCTGACCCATACGAATTAGCTTCGGATGGGTGCCGTGTGTGACTTTGTCTTGCCGACGTTTTGCCTACATTGCAGCGGGCATTATCAAGGCTAGGAGGCACTGATGTAATTATATCTCCATTTACTGGAACTGCCTCTTACATCGTGGGAGAGTTGACGATGGGCTAATGAAGACTAGAACTACCGGCGGATTTTTTTTGGCAGTGGTAGGCCATCTAAAACCAATCATTTTGACTGGACTTGGTAGTTCTAGCGTTAAGTTTCACCTGTTATGTGGGTTGGCGGGGAGTCCTTCATCAGATTGTACCTGCGAGGGTCCACTAATCAGGTGTTCCCGTTAAATTTGGTTCGGCAACCGAATTTAAGAAACCTAGAGGAGAACGTTCTATGTACAGATCATGCGATATTCTCTGTCGCGGTTGATGTTGGGATGTTTCAGAGTTTCTGTGGCTTTGTAGTGTTTTCTAAGGAAGAACTACGAGGTCTTTGTAAGGACGGTTGCGTTCTCAAACAGGATTTTGTGACCGGTTTCAAGGTGTTCATCTACTGCGAATCATTCGAAATATTGCCTGATCGATCTTTCTTCCATTCGTGTGGCCACTTTCATCCCGGGGTTCCCGATGTACATCTTCCTGCACGAGCCAGGGATTTTATAGACTTCTAAAGAGAATAGTGGTGGTGTGGGATCTTTGAGGAATATTCGGAGTTGGGCGATTGTTCTCGGGGGGTTGGAAATGGGTGGCGTGGAATGTTCTTTTTCTTTATGATACTGTCTTCCGTTCAGAAACACCTTGGACATTGGGAAAGTGTATAGTGGTTCTTTTTTGGTCTCGTTGAAGTGAGGGTAACCTAGGTCTTCTTTTTGTGGTATTTATGGATGTCCCGGTTTATATCTTTGAGACTGTAGCCGTTAAGTTGGAGGATATTTTTTCTCGAGCGTTTCTGGTTCGATAATGGTGAAGGCTCCGCATTGACACTGTACCTCTTTTGACTTCATTGCAGATTTAACTGTTCAAATTCAATATAAACCCAAGACTTAATCCCTAAAAACCCATCGGAGGATGATCCCCAGGTCGGAGTAAGAGAGCAGGCGGCCACCCCATCACTTCGGCGGCACGCAATCTATTAGTAATGTGAAGAGGCATTCAGCCCACCACGTTAAGTCGTATGGTAGAATAATTTGTCCAGAAGTTACATTAATTATAGAACGACGTTGATGCTCCGCCGACAGCGGCCCCTTAAGATGCCGACGCTCTAACCAACGTTGCGCAGCACTCAATAAAATAATTGAGAATCGCTTTGGGTTAGTCACCGTAGCTTTTGAAGTTAACTAAGGATAGCGCCGAACTATCCGCCATCTGAAGATAATTGGGTCGTGACCCAATCTCCCTCGTGGATTCTCTACAATTTTGAAATTTCTCAGTGAACGGGGCAGCCGTGGGGAGGCTCATTGACGCGTTAGCAGCACGCGCCGCACTGATATGTGCCCATAATTATGAAAGTGGTCTAAGTCATATATTTCTTGTTTCGAGATATTTAATGAATTGCATTTGAATAAATTAAAAAATATTTTTATATTATGCAACATTTTAATTTCGAGTTTTATTAGTCTTGATTAATGGAAATGTATTATGAATATGAAATTTTTGGTGAATTTCATAGGAAAATGTTTTTAAAGGGTGAATTGACTTAGACCATTTTCAAAATTAACTGAATGTCCTATAAATGACTTAAAACAATAAAAAACTACGAGTTTGATTAGAAACGATAATTTTAATGCAATAATTCATGAACATTTATTAATTATTTTTCAAAAGAAATCCATTTTTATCATTTTAGGCTTTCATCATTATGAGTTTTAAAGATTTTTAAAATGTTCCTGAAAAACTGGAGATATGTAAATATAATATCTTTGTTTTTCTTCCGTTACTGGTCTAGTGGTGGGGTATAGTGGAAGTAATTTAATATTTCCATATATTTTTGGTCTTCCTCTATTAGGCGAAAGATTCAAAACGTGGAATTTAGAATCATCTAAAGAAGTATTACGTGGTCGTATAATATCTGCAAATCACATCATATCCGAATAGTAATTAACATATTCACATAATATGTACGTTGTCATTAACTTACCTGAACCGCTATCCGTGGACATAGTGGTAAAATATATAAATTATTTTTCCGCGAATAATTAGTTCGGAAGAGCCCAACTTAATTAATGCACTTTCAAAATAGAACAAAATGAATTCCATGTATTGTTAGGTAGACCGGAAAATATTGTCGTTTCTGTTACCGTTTGATTGTAATTTGTCGGCTTATCGTGTAGTTCAAAAACGCGCCAAAGAGGGCCACGTACCATTTTAAGGTTATGTTTATATAATTTCTTTACATTTTTGACGTAGACCACTTTCATAATTAACACTAAATGAATTCCATATAATGTTGAAATTACAACCACTCTCTAATGGTTCATTTTTGATAATATCGTAAAAATGACATTGAATTAATTTAGCTTAAGATAATGTGGGGTGAAATACCTGATAAACTCATTTATTTTTAATTTGGACTTAGACCACTTTCATAATTATGGGCTCATATGTCCAGGGCAGCTGACCTTGGGGTCTCTGCCGAGTCCCTCGGCGGTGATCTCGCCGAAATTTTCTTCTTAGGCGCTCCAGAAGTGGTGGAGTTGCCGTTGCGTCCTTGTCAACCTCAGACCTGCTCGTAGGGTTGTTACCGCCCTTGGTTGGTTGATCACTGGGGGGCCAGGACGGGGCCTGCAGTAGTGCCTTCCCCATTACTACGCTAGGCTACGCTAAAGGGCCGGAATCCTCTCTCCGGAAGGGTGGATGTTGATGCCTGCCTCGGGTCCCTTGCGGCCCTTTGGGTCGGTGGATGGCGTGGCGGAGGCCCTCTTCTGGCGCCCGTCCCCTTGTGGGGGTTCGTTCCTGGTGATCTCCCTCGTAGTTCTAGACGCTGTTGACGGATCACGTAATGTGGGGTGAGGGGCTAGGCGCTACCTCTGACCTCACCGAGACTAACCGTTCTCATGAATTGGTTCGATTCGGGTCTCGCTTACAATACCCGGGTTATCTGTTTCTTTCGACCTTCTATTAACACTAGGTTTACGGGCGTTTTTTATATACCTGTTTCTACGAGCACCCGTCAAATTGACGGGTAAACGAAAACACGCATTTTCTTTAAAAAATCGATTTATTCAAATTAAGTCTGTATTAAACAACACTAGGCTTTACGTTTAAATAAATGATTAATAAGTAAAAAGTCCTGTTTTAAAAATTATCACGGAAATGATTGGAATGCTCGTTCTCTCATCCTCGGAGTCGGGACTAGGAAGAATGCGCATCCTTTTCTTGCTACGACACCCTTTCAAGAAGTTTTCCTCTTCACTATCCGAAGATACTTCTATTTCTCCACTTTCAATGTAAACTTTCACTCTCATCTTCGCCTTACACTCTCTGCAACGAAGCAAATATATATGGATTGTTTATGAAATTAGCTAGTCCGTCAATTTGACGGGTTTCGTAGAGATAGGTATACTACATACAAATTTTAATAATTAGAAGGCTTAGGAAAAAATAATTGTGTGTACAAATTCTTTGGATGAAGTGATTAATTTACGATACAAAAATGGTTAAAATGAATGCTATGGTTTTTTCGGTATTTCTTTTTGAAGTTTGAATTCCGTCAAATTGACGGGTCCCGTAAACCTAGTGTTAACATCTTCCTGTGGCTCGGAGAAGCGTTACAGATTCTCCAAGTTTTGATCGAAACTGATCGAATCGATTCGAATTTTCGCGAGGAGAATTTCGATGTGCATATGATTTCTCCGTTCCTGCTCCTTATTCCAAGGCCATATTTTGGGTCGGGCATTCCCATAAAAATGCCATGTCAAAGTTCATATTTTTTTAAATACAACTTTCTCCTGTCCCAGATTAGATATTTACATATACATTTCTTTAAGAATTTAACTGTAGAAGTATATTGGCCATTTTTATGCTAGAAACTGCATAAATGCGCCAGTGATTATGTACAGGCTAAAGGTCGTAGGAAATATTATGTAACACTTATCCAATTTAATGCATATTTCCCTTGAATGAAATTCAGCCCAGGAATAATGCGTTTTATACTGCTCTAGGTGAATGAAAGAAACATGAAAAATTTGAATACTTTTTTTTTTAGCGACAAGCGACTACCACAGAAATTGGATCCGAACGAAAGGAGGTTACATCACGTGGAAATGGAGAGATTGAAGAAATGGGAAAAGATGATGGAGAATTGGAATACTTATGCCACTAAGGACAAGCTAAGACGTAGAATATACAAGGGCATTCCTGACAGATTTCGAGGCAAAGTGTGGGCTCTACTTTTGGGTATTGATATCCTAAAGCATGAGCAGGCTGGCAAGTACGATGAAATGTTACAATTAGCGAGACAATGGAGCACGGAGATCAGACAAATCGATGCAGACGTTGCCAGGCAATATCGAGACCATATCAATTATAGGCATGTATTTTCTGAATATAGCGAATGTAAATGCTACATACATTTTGTAACATATTCTACACAATGCATTACAATAATTGCAAGAACTAAACCTTTGTTTTCAGGATATTTTGAGCTTTCTTCGATTTTCATTCCTAGCAATAATTAACAATATTTACTATACTGCTTAATTATCATTCTTAGTTATGTTTGCCATTAATTATGATCCAGAGTCACAAGATATATTATCACTTACTTTTTTTTGTGTTTCAATCGTGAGATAGACATTTGAATATTCCGTGATTTTTTCAGTCGCGGATTAATGGCGGAAAAAGTACGCGTGGAGGCCTCAAAAATAAAATAATTACATTTTAAATTTCTATGCTTCTGTTTGATTAGAGGAAACAAAAAAAAAGTGAAACAAAACATATACAGATTTTATTTATACCGAGTAGTCCAGTAAATTAAAGCACCTTTAACATCTTAGAATATTTGGGGAATAATTTTTTATATTCTGAGACGTTCTTTGAAGAGATTTCACTTCGTTTTTAAAAATGTTTATTTCAATTTCTTTATAATTTGTAATAAGTTCGTCACATGTATCTCCAACACTGGTTATTTCCGTAATACTTTAATATTATGCGATTATTATGTGATTGCTGCGTTAATGAATGATGCGTTACCTATTCTGTTATTATTTTATCCATTCCTACAATGTTGCAAACAATAGAATTAAATGAAAGGATACTTACGAATGTTAATTTTCAGTTTTGCACTTCGTTAAATCTTGCAGTCAGAATCGATGAAATAGTTTGAGGCAACATCCGATTTCTCTTAGTCTTACAGAGTCTATATCAGTACCAGAACTGCCCGATTGAGAGGATCATTTCTAAAAATACTTGGGGGGAAAAGTAAAGGTATTGTAGCGTACAAGGCTTGAAATATTAGTACTTCTGATCTACCAGGTGTATAAGCTTAAACCCGCCGTTTTTTAGTCCGACAAACACATGTTTTTTTCGTAGAAAGCAAAACAATAATTTATCAAAGTACTGGCCCTCGCTAGCTACACATTTGTCACATCTTTTGGGCAATTTGTGGATACCACGCCAAAAACATTCCTTCCCTTTCGAGGTAAACCACTTATCAAGCCATTGTCGGACGTCTTCGTAAGAATCGAAATGTTGCTCAGCAAGCGTGTGGCCCACCGACGAAAACAGGTGGTAGTCAGAAGGGGCCAGGTCTGGTGAATAAGTGACATGGGGTAGCACCTCCAAATTAAGTGCCTCCAAGTAGTTTCACACCATTTTTGACGTGTGCGAAGGTGCGTTATCGTGGAGGAAAATCAGCTTGTCATGTCTTTGTTGATAATCCGGCCTTTTTTCATGCAGAGCACGGTGCAGTTTGATCAGTTGTTAGTGGTAGCGGTGGGCATTGACAGTTTCGCCAGGTTTCAACAGCTCATAGTAGATGATACCCTGCTGATCCCACCAAACGCACAGCATCGTCTTCCGTCCGAAGCGATTTGGTCTTGCGGACGATTTGGATGGTTGGCTGGGATCAATCCATGATTTCTTGCATTTAGGATTCTCGAAAAATATCCACTTTTCAATATCAGTCACAATTGGATGCAGCGCGTGGCCCACCGACGAAAACAGGTGGTAGTCGGAAGGGCCCGGGTCTGGTGAATAAGTGACATGGGGTAGCACCTCCAAGTTAAGTGCCTCCAAGTAGTTTCGCACCATTTTTGACGTGTGCGAAGGTGTGATATCGTGGAGGAAAATCAGCTTGTCATGTCTTTGCTGATAATCCGGCCTTTTTTTCATGCAGAGCACGGTGCAGTTTGATCAGTTGTTAGTGGTAGCGCTGGGCATTGACAGTTTCACCAGGTTTCAACAGCTCATAGTAGACGATACCCTGCTGATCCTATCAAACGCACAGCATCGTCTTCCGTCCGAATCGATTTGGTCTTGCGGACGATTTTGATGGTTGGCCGGGATCAATCCATGATTTCTTGCATTTAGGATTCTCGAAAAATATCCACTGTTCATTGTTAGTCACAATCGGATGCAGGAACGACTTTTTTTTTTGTTTGGCGAGCAAGATATCGCATGTGTTTTAGCGTCGCTCCATCTGCCTATGGGTCAATTCACGCGGCACCCATTTCCCGATCTTTTGAACCTTTCCCATGGCACGTAGACGCATGGAAATGGCTGGTTGAGTAACATCCAATTGCTCGGCAAGCATTTTTTGCGATTGGGTATCGTCCTCGTCCAAAAGAGTCTGCAATTGATGGTCCTCAACCTTCCTGAGCCGATTATCACGTTTCTTGTCGCTCAGGCCTAAATTGCCGTCTTTGAACTGACGAAACCAATTTCTGCACGTTGTTTCCGATAAAGCATTGTCGCCATAGGCCTCTACAAGCATTCGATGCGATTCGGCAGCTGATTTCTTCAAATTGATGCAGAAAAGCAGAACTTCCCGCATATGCTCTTTTTCTGGCAAAAAACTAAACATGTTTACCAAAGGAAAAATGTATGTTGTTGTATGAAATTGCTGATGACGTGCACTTATTATTGTTGACAGATGTCAAATTCATACAAAACAAAAGTATGGCGTGTCCATAGTATCTTAATATGCTCACTAACGCAAAGTATGAGCAAACAGCGGATTTAAGTTTATACGCCTGGTAAATAAATTTTCCAAGCAAGGATATTTATATTTTGGTCCCACCAACGTATCAAAACTCTTTCCCTTTCAATATTATTAAAAATACTGATACCTTATGGTCAAAATATATAATGTCAATAAGTTGACAATTGTTGACTTCAGTTCAGATCGAAGATATTAATTACGCATTGATGCTTATTAATATCAATTCTCCATATCACAAAGTATTTTCAGCAATGACTTTCTCCGAACAGTTATAGTGAAGGTATCGGTCTCTTCAGATTGAGAATGGCCGTTAGATTGCCTCAAATTGGTTTATCCATGATGTGTCCAGATTGGTTTATCCATGGTCCATGAACGTCTACTGTTAGATTTAACGGGGTGAAACTGATTATTCCTAGAAATGTCCATTCCTTACAAATCAATTTGAAGTCGACATTTCATATATTACCCAATGTTATAAAAGAAAAATAATATTTTCTAAACGTACCAGAAATGTAACACCGTCTTGAAAATATTGTCCATGATAAAGCAGGAAGTTTTTCAAGTAAATTAACATTTCAGCGATACGTTATTTACAAAAAAATTATTTTGATTCTAAGACAAAATATATACATGTGTATATGTTAGATTAAAAGGGGTAACGAAACGGAACAAGCCTAACGGAACGGAAGTGGAAGGAACAGACTCAGAGCGGGCGGAACGACTCTCGCGATTCGATAAAACGGATTCAAATATTATGGCGCATTTGGGTCATGCGCATACGTACACGGACTATGCGGCTGCAGTCCGCGGTTTCCTCTCCCCGGCCTACCCCTATTATGAGGGCGACTTAACCCTTTGAGGCACGACATTTATACCCCACCGCATTAAAAGGTGGGACACTTTTAATAACACCGTGCCTCAAAGAGTTAACACACTACATACCTACTACAGTGGTGTAGTTTATGGAAGCCTCACCATCTGAAGAGACCGAATGGGCGACTCGTACGATAGGCACTCCATCTCCTGGAATACAACAACACGATCGCACATCAAAAGGGAGTTCTAACATTGCGTTTCGAATGCACTCTACCTGATGCACGAGCTACAGGCGACCGATGAAATCGCCGTTGTCGAAACCAAAAAGGACGAAAACTAGCCTTCCCCTTCCACGAAGGAATCGTGATACCACCACCGACTCGAACATGTACAACGATTTCCCGAAGAAAATGAAGTATGGAAAACGGAGGGCGAACACCTATACCAAAATTGCCCAAACTTGTTCCTCGATTTGCTTGTTCTCTATTTAACCCCTTAGCTTACAATGACGCCTCAGAGGCGTCGCAAGGTTATCGGACCAAACATGAATAAGACGCCTCAGAGGCGTCGCAAGGTTGCGCGCGACCGACCTTGGTGTCGCTTTTGGCTCGCACAGTTGGAAATTAGATCGTAAGGGAAGGGGTTAAATGCTTGGGAGCTTGTGGCGTCGCCGACCTGTCGAGAAGATATCTTTGCCAAGGCTCACGACGAACCACAAATCGAACATCTCGGAGTTATTCGAAAATGCGGGACGTGTCAGTGATGTAAAGTAGAGCAAATCCCCCCCGAGATTAATGGGACAACGCAGTATTTACGACCCGTGGAAGATGGTACCCGCCAACGTTATGTGACTCCTTCCCCGAATCCTCGCCGGACTTACATCTCTGTCTTCCACGATCTCCACGCAATATGTATCCAATGCATCCCGTAACGCGCTGCGCCCGAGAAGAAGGTTGAATTTGCCTTTGAGAAGAATACCATGTACCGATGGTGATGTCCTGACTTCTCACTGACAGCGGCAATGGATTCGGCAACCGAAAAATGACATTCTTGAAGACACGGAATCCATTTCGCAACCTTACCGATGTATCATCCCCAAGCGGATCCCATCGAACGGATGAATGGAGTCTCGAAGATTACGATTCCCGCTATGCCGATCGAAACCATCGAAGATGGGACGTATTGTGGCACCTGCTCGCTTCGTCTATACCACCTCCGTTCACGGCACTTTGAAGATGAGTCCCGCCTTTTTTAATCCTCTGCCGACTCCATTAGGCCGATATTTCATCAGCACTCCAGCGACTAGCAATAAACGACAGATGTCCCGCTTACGACAGAATTTTTGTCGCTTGAATAAAGTACACCAGCACTAAACAGCACTCTGTCGTAGAAAAGTTCGAAATTCCAAACGTTTGTGCGACAGAAACTGTTAAAGACACGGCGGAAGTTCTCCCACTTCACTGATTCTCTGCTGCCAATCAGAACTTCTTTTTCGCGATTTATTGTTCCATCGCCTGTAATTGTAGCTCTAATGAAATATCGGCCTTATTCACCTTTATTCGCGTGTCGTATCATTGCGTGAAACATAACGACCCTCCAACAAGACGCGGAATAGTGGACCGAACGCATACTCCAAATGTCGAAAATGCATGATTTAACTCTACGTTCTCTGGAAGAGGCTCACCAACGACAAGCGAAATATAATCGAGAACGTCGCGATATCCTCTGTATCCATCATACATCAAGACTACCTACGAATTCAAGACTACCTACGAGTCTCAACGAGAAGAAGACCGGGAAATATATTTCTGACCTTAAAACCAGCACACGTTGACCGCGAACGCGACTACGGGACTCATTCGGTCGATTTCGAACCTCGTACCGACTAACAACGCTAGGTCCCCAGGTTCGAAACGGAACTAGCCGTCACGAAATGCAGCAGAGAACCACCGCCAACGCCGAAACCAAACCAGTCGCTTCTAAACACGGTAAACACGGCTGAGATTTCTTTTGTATTCGCTTCGCGATCGTGTTTGACTGCACCTTGACCGCATTGGACGGTCCATCAATCGAAGTCGACGAGCCCGTGTCCATTCTCGTGAGTGCGGAGTGTCATTGGGTTTCGACTCCTCGTGCTCCCATCCTGGCAGAGCTGCAAAGAGAAAGAATAGAAGAGCAAGTGAATGATCTGGAGTCGCTCTGATTGCTTTATTGCGGCCTCCAAAAGGCGACGACGTGGGGGAGGGTGGCGCCTACGCGCCCATGAGCCATCCGTAAACCTCCTCGTGGCGGAGGCCGGATGTGGGCCCATTCCATGGGTCCGTAACGAAACGGCAAATGGCTACTGGGGAACCATGAGAGATGCTCGCTCTGCGGAGTTTGACTACACTCATGTTCCCCCAGAGTTACCGGCGAAAGGTGGCCCTCATCATGGGAATACTTCTCGACCGGACGGCTGGGGTGTGTCGGGTAACCCGTCCCGCGTCCCGATTTTCCGGGTGCGGGTTGGGGGCCAGCCCCACCGGCCGTAATAAGAAGGCCGACGAGCTAGTACGGTTCGATAGATGGGATAAACGATCCGAACATTCACTGGGGAACTTGGCCGATGGATCAGGTTCCCATCCGACCTAGCCGGGAAAGCTCGCCAAACCACGCTGGAGCATTGCGTCTCAGCTGGCGCCTTGCACGAATGCTCGCACCACGTGGGTGCAGGGGAGGGACCTCCACGAGGTTCCTTGCGGGCAACGGGTGGGGTCAAGCGGCCTCCCTTCGGAGAGTGCGTCGCGGATGCCCTGTCTCGGCTAGCGTCTCTCCGGGTTTGAACGAGCGGTCCGAAGCATTCGGGTTTTTCCAGCCCGTCCTGGGCCTTCGGGCCCCCATGATAGTGGGGGCGCTGGAGGCAGATGGTTGTTAACCCCCTAGAAATGGGGGGAGGGGGGGCTACAAGCCCCAGGTATGGCGAGCCACAAGGCCTATATCAACGTTGATTGCTTTATTGCAGCAGTGTCCTGCGTACGAAATGACAGCGTCGAAATGTTCTGGTGTTAATCTTTCCGTTACGAGCGCTGACTATAGTTGGCATCTGCGCGACGTCCTGGGTGTACGAGCGTCGATTATAATCGGTACACATGCGACGACCTTTGTGTACAAGCGCCGACTTTAGTCGGTAACAAATGCTACCATATCTTTTCAATGTAACATACTATATGTGTTTAGGAAGAATGATTCATTGTTGCTATGCGCTCAATTATTACTTCATGGGTATATTTTCGTAAAATTTAATAATTCGCATATAACACCGAATGCATGTATTTGGTAAAAGTAACTGATTTCATTGTTTTTGTGCGATTAATCGCCATTAGATATGACTCGTCATGGATATGACTTTGTAAAATATGCTATTTCAATTGGATGGATGTATTTGGGACAAGTTTTTTTACACCGATGGTATTTTCGTGGTGATTTAGGATATACGGAAGCTTTACTGCGCGTATTTTGAAGAATTTTCTCGATATTCCCTATATGAAACTGTAACGTATAATATAATTAGTACAATGTTCTGAATTATTATGACTAGGTTTTGATAGTCTTCGTTTTCAATTCTAATCTTTCAAAAGGCGTATAACACCAAAAATATGTATTGACGGAGCCATCTTGGTTCTAATTTGGGAGAATTAGAAATTATTATGTTAAAAAATTAAGTTTTTAAGGTGTTAGGACTTTTCAAAGGCCTCCATCCTCACGTGACAAAATTTTAAATCATTCGGTGCACCCAATTTAGAGAAAAGTATTATGAATAATTTAATGCCTCGGACCGTTTTCACGTCACTTTAATGATAAGATATTTTGACTTAAATGCTCCGATCCGTGTAACTTTTCATCATATATAGCTACTTTGATTATTATTCTCTTACTATTCCTATTACTTTAAGCAAACAGTAATCGACCTTTTTGAAGTAGCGAGATGTTTTGCAGTTGAATGAATTTTTTTTATTATTGTATTAATATTAATAATAGTATGGTATCCATTTGATTTTTCAACAGGGAAAGATATAGCATTAAACAACGTTCCATGTTTTACGTTTTGGCCGCCTACAGTATGTACAACATGGAGGTCGGATATTGCCAGGGCATGTCCGTATTGGCTGGACTTCTCTTGTTGTATATGGACGAAGAAGATGCGTTTTGGGGACTTTCCGTGCTTCTTTCGGATAAGAAATACAGCATGCATGGTTTGATTAATTTTACGTATTTTATATTTTATTTGTTCGTACATGTTTTGATATCTACTAACAATATTCATGACCTAATTGCTCAGGGATTGCTAGATACCGTTACAATTCGCTGTATCATCCAATTTGATTAGGAATTCTTTAAGGTAATGTAAAAGGGGCATTTTAGGTGTCTTGTATATGAAACTTTTCTCCGAACATGGTGTACCAAATCGTTCGAAATTTGAACTCGAGAAAAGAGGGAGACCCGCAGCAGGATCCTGATATCCATAAAATTTCATTTAGCCCTAGAACTACCAAGCCCAGTCAAAATGACAGGTTTTAGATGGCCACAGCCAAAAGAAAATTCCACCGATAATTTCACTATTAAGGGCGTTCACCACTCTAGCGATGTTGCAGGGTCTCACGGGGACAACGATTCCAAACGTATTTCTAAACCGATCGAGCTTAACGAGTGCTCATATCAAACATGAAATGTTGACCTGCGTTTATATGGGAGCGATTTTCGATTAGTGGCCATTTTCATATAAAAAAAGTGCAACGACATAATTTCAATGCCCTTTTACCTAGGAAGGAGGTGCTCGATCGAAAATCGCTCCCATATAAACACACGTCAACGTTTTATCTTTAAAACGAGCACTCGTTGAGCTCGATCGGTTGAGAAATACGCTCAAAATCGTTGTCCCCGTGGAGCACCTTTTTCAGGATTTTCGAGTTTCTCGCGAGGAATTTGAGCATTTCTTGGCAACCGTTGCCGACTCTAGGCGGAGCGTCCAACTGGCGTGTGCGGGCGGCCGGGGGTCACCCACGTTTCGGCGCCTAGTCCAGAGGCGCTAGCCGTTGCGTGAGTCCTATACGTGCAAAATACGCACACATTTTTCGCCCGTTGCTAAACACCGCCCATTATGCGTCGCGTCTTCCTCATCCGAGCGAGAAAGTACGTTTTGGTTACCTCCCACCGAATTCGATGCTAATGCCATCTAGCGGTGGAAGTCATCGTCGCCACTTTGGTGGTGAACGCCGTTAACTTAAATTTCGTTACATGAAGGTTCTACCAAGAATTGTAGACGGAAACGCAACACCCTATACCGTCCTTTATCTTAATTTGTACAAGACAGTCCGACTTGTATCCTAAATTTTAAACGCTGATCGAAACTCAATCGCAAAAGATAATTGATAAACCAATTGCAAGAGGTAACCTTAAAAGACGGGAGATAAAACAATTTTCGATTGTTATTGGTCCTCAAAAGGCAATTCTTAAATTTCGTTAATAATAGAGACAGTCTCTCCCATCGGCACGAGATCTGACCACCGAACCAGCTAGTCAAGATTAGTCAAAGATAGCACGATTACCGGCCTTGTAATGCGTGCGCTAAAATGGTACACACATTACCTTAATAATTAGACTAATTATTACATTACTTGTAATATATTCCTTGAATGATAAATTTACTGTAACTTGCAATTGTACTTGACCAATTATATGGCAAGTAAAATTGAAACTTGTGAATTACCGGCCTTGGAATGCGTGCGCTAAAATGGCACACACATTACCTTAATAATTAGACTAATTATTACATTACTTGTAATATATTCCTTGAATGATAAATTTACTGTAACTTGCAATTGTACTTGACCAATTATATGGCAAGTAAAATTGAAACTTGTGAATTACCGGCCTTGGAATGCGTGCGCTAAAATGGCACACACATTACCTTAATAATTAGACTAATTATTACATTACTTGTAATATATTCCTTGAATGATAAATTTACTGTAACTTGCAATTGTACTTGACCAATTATATGGCAAGTAAAATTGAAACTTGTGAATTACCGGCCTTGGAATGCGTGCGCTAAAATGGCACACACATTACCTTAATAATTAGACTAATTATTACATTACTTGTAATATATTCCTTGAATGATAAATTTACTGTAACTTGCAATTGTACTTGACCAATTATATGGCAAGTAAAATTGAAACTTGTGAATTACCGGCCTTGGAATGCGTGCGCTAAAATGGCACACACATTACCTTAATAATTAGACTAATTATTACATTACTTGTAATATATTCCTTGAATGATAAATTTACTGTAACTTGCAATTGTACTTGACCAATTATATGGCAAGTAAAATTGAAACTTGTGAATTACCGACCATGGAATGCGTGCGCTAAAATGGCACACACATTACCTTAATAATTAGACTAATTATTATATTACTTGTAATATATTGCTTGAATGAGAAATTTACTGTAACTTGCAATTGTAGTTGACCAATTATATGGCAAGTAAAATTGAAACTTGTGAATTACCGGCCTTGTAATGCGTGCGCTAAAATGGCACACACATTACCTTAATAATTAAACTAATTATTACATTACTTGTTACATATTGCTTGAATGATAAATTTACTGTAATTTGCAATTGTACTTGACCAATTATATGGCAAGTAAAATTGAAACTTCTGAGTTACCGGCCTTGTAATGCGTGCGCTAAAATGGCACACACATTACCTTAATAATTAGACTAATTATTACATTACTTGTAATATATTGCTTGAATGATAAATTTACTATAACTTGCAATTGTACTTGACCAATAATGTGGCAAGTAAAATTGAAACTTGAATATGAAAAAAGTGCAGAAAGCTAGGGAAGATAAACGAATTTGGAGTGAAAAACAAATAAGGAATACTATATTTGTATACGGAAACTTCCATTGAAAAGCAGTATTCAAGCATTTCTATATGTGATTTTTTTACCGTTTAGAATGTTTTAAATCTTTTAAATTTAATGTTATCGGGATTATCAGAATGTGTACGATTTAACTAAGAAAAAAATTTGACCGATGAAATTATTGAAGAATTGTCCGTGTAATTATTATATTTCCGCAGTAATTTGGTATTGATTCGCAGGATTCTACGTCGATGGTTTTCCCAAACTGAATCGATTTATCGAACATCACGACAAGATAATGAACAAGTTCCTTCCCAAACTGAAACGAAAACTCGACAAATGCGGATGTGATTCTATACTTTATGCCCTGAAGTGGTTCTTCGTTGTTTTTCAAGAAAGGGTACGAAAGATCAAAGTATTATTAGTTTTTAAATATCCTCGCAGTCTTGGAACGTTGTTTGAAGTATGAAATATTTTGTAGACCCCAGTCAGCCTTGGACTTCGCATTTGGGACGTATTTCTCCTGGACGGAGATCGCATTCTGCCCGCAATGGCGTACACAGTTATGAAGATGCATAAACGATATTTAATGCCCATGGAAAGCCTCGATGAGTTCTGCAATTACTTGCAAATTAAACTCGAGAAAGACTTTTGCTTTGACGATGATACCGTTATTAGCTCCATGGAGCGAAATATAGAGGAGCTCAAACGTGCCAAATTAGAATACCCTGGTCCACCGCTGCCGCACGAATTGCCACGCTTTCCTTTCGGAACGTTTAAAGAGCCCTCATTCACAAACAAGGTAGTCCCACGGAGGAACTAATGCATTTGTATTCAAATAGAATTACTTACTTCAAAACCCGAAAGCAACCGGTACTTTACTTACCACCTTACTTAAACACACGCTATATAATGTTCTCAACAAACTTCTGATTAAACGTTAAACGTATTAAAATGTATTAAACAACGTTAAGCTTGTTACATGGAAAGCACTTCGTGCACACGCTTTAAGAGCTGAAAGTGAAGTACAAATTTACAACGACGATAATTGTTGCATTTTTTGGTCAAAATTACCGCTTTCGATATTTAGGACGGGACTTCTCGCGACCCAATGTGATCGTTTAACGTTTTCAAACCTCGAGATCTAATATAGACTGTTTTTCACAAGATATTTCGCGACCCAATGTTGGCCATTTAACACTAGAACAATCAAACTCATAAAAGTGACGGATTTTAGATAGTCCACCAAACGCGCAAAAGAATTCGCCGGTAGATCTGGTGTTAACGTCTTTGGTGGGATAGAAAAAAAAAAAGGGTTTTGATTAATAGTTGAACTACCGTATAAAAAGGGCCAACTATAACGCAAGATCGTTTAGTTGAAAGGAATCCCGGAGGCAAGAAATTAGTCGAAGCAATATACTTTCTAGTATTAAATTCAATAAGAAAATCTTATTCCGTGGTCCCACTAGTAATTCTTCTTCCGGAATTAATGATAACGATGCGATTACATATAGCTAGATATCAAGTGCACATGTAATAAATGAATTTTCTACGATAATAGATCTTAAACGTATTATAAGCTCAGAACATAAGACCTTTTTGGACTATTTAGAGTACGACCGTTGATAGGTTTTCAGTTTATTATATCATCTTCTTTATTGAAGAAGAACATTCCTATTAAAACAATAAAGAGATTCGACATTCATTTAATGTGATATTTTTATTTACTTCATCGACACAAAATATCATTCTATAATACATACGTATAACCATACCTGTGGTACAAGTTAAATAACAATCTAGTCGAGTTCTATTTACAAATGAATGTTTGAATGTTTATATTTCATAAATAGACCACTTATTGCATTGGCACTGTAACTTTAATCGAAGCCTGAATTTAAATAATTTCTAATATAATGATGAAATGAACTAAATATCATATCCTAATGCATTGTATACGTGATGATGGAATTGTCTATGAGAACGCCACCAATAGCCAATGTGACGTACTTACAAGCAAGGTACCTGAGGTGTCCCCCTCCGATTTTGTTCATTTTTAAATATGTTATAGAGGACTAAAATCTAAGGGACCTGTGTTTTTTTTTATCGGCGGATAAACACTTTTAGGGGATGAAATCAGGCTTCAAGGTTGGCCGTGCAAGGGGGTGAGTTGGCTGTTTCATGTAGAAGCACTCGACCGATTTTCATGAAACAACCGTCAAAATGTAGGGAACGAAGAATTATGAAACATGCATTTGGAATTTTTCGGAAAAATTCATTTTTAAGGGGTAAGCCACCCCTTTGAATACTTATTTTACCCCTTACGCGAGCAGTAATTGTTCTATCCAAATGAAAGTTTTTTTGTATTGTTCTGGTTTATAAATTAACCAAGTTTTATTTGGTTAGAGCAATTACTACTCGCGTAAGGGGTAAAAGAATTATTCAAAGGAGTGGCTCACCCCTTAAAAATGAATTTTTTCGAAAAATTCCAAATGCATGTTTCATAATTCTTCATTCCCTACATTTTGACGGTTGTTTCATGAAAATCGGTCAAGTGCTTCTATATGTAACAGCCAGCTCACCCCCTTGTATGGCCAACCTTGAAGCCTGATATCACCCCCTAAAAGTGTTTATCCGCCGATAAAAAAAAACACGGGTCCCTTAGATTTTAGTCCTCTATAACATATTTAAAAATGAACAAAATCGGAGGGGGACACCTTAGGTACCTTCCTTGTTAGTGGATGTTGGATATAACCGGCACTAGTCGAGAAAGGGTTAACAGGATCTTTATCTGTATTTTGCTGACATTTTAATTTCAGAACAGAAATCCATTCGTTCCGTTGTCAGAATGAAAAACTATTATATCCTAAAAATACTTCTGTAAAGGGTTGCACCCAAGCTGCTAGAATTATCGGTGGAAATAAATTCGCTATCTATAACATTATCAACTTTTTGTCTTATTAAGATCGTGTTCCGTTGAATAAAGAAATCAATTTTAGGCACAATTTAATCTTTTAAATGAAATTAGCACATATTATTGGAATTTTTAATCCTTCTTTATTTGAATTGTAAACTCACGATGCGCGGTAGATGTTTTTCGGTTGAGAAAAAATAGACTATAGAAAAGATATTAGCTAATCAATAGAGTAAATGGAAAATAATGTTTCTTAGGTTGGTCGTCGTACCGAAGAGTTTAGCGAGGCGCAACACATGATGAGAGAGGCAGTGGCCCAGAGAAGAGATATGGCTGTCATCGAAGAGACCAGAGGAAGCTCCACACCCGTAGATCCGACGGGGTGTGGCGGTCTTGGGGGTGAGTTGACAGATACCGAAAGCTTGGTGTACAGTAGCACCAACCTTAGTATCAGGTGGTCAGGTCCGGAAAGCACGAGCGCTGAAGATGAAATCGATACCGATCGCAATTCGGAACTCAGCAACATTATACTCTACAATACGAGACTCTGAACATTGTTTTTTGGGGCCATGGTGTAATATCGATTGGAAAGTCAACGCTTTTATTTTATTGTAATAAGGTGCAATGGTATCATCTGTTGGCCAGTGCGAAGTATGCTCTCTACTTTTTAAGGTGATGTGAAAAGCGCCGAGAGATTTAATCGGCGTCGGTAAAAGGGAATTCTGTTATACCATCTAACTGATTCTCTATCTGAAACTGAATATCGCATTGCGACATTTATATTTATGTTGTTATCCGTTGTACTCAACATTCAGAATTATACGCAATGGCATATACCGCATGTCATTTCAGTAAAATGATTATGAAACGATCTAAGTAAGACTAACGAAACTCCCCAGATTCGTGATTTTTGTTTATAGTTTAATGGACTGTGGCGCCATCTGTTGCAGTTAGCGATAACTAATTGTTTTGTTGCGAAAACGGTTACAGTGCACGGGTTACCTATGCCATACATCTCAAATTCGCGGATACACCTTTTTCCCCTTTTCTGGTTCGAATGTTTAACTTTGATGGTAGAACTATGTGACATGGTTCTGATCTATGATAAATAAAAGAAGAAATATTTCGAAAAGTGCATTTTTAATGCGCGGAGCGGTCTTAGTCAGGGTTGTGTAGTGACACATCATATGAGGTTTTTTACGTAAAACACTTAAGGGAAATATTTTACATGAACTTCATGTAAAATACCTATTAACTCACACAACAAAGATTTCGGTACTGTAACCTCACTTTTCCAAAGTGGTCAAAGTATACATCACTTGTGAATAAACATTTTAGTCAAAAAAGGAAAGGAACGAAGAATAATGGCAAGTAAGAGCAAACCATTAAAAAAATCTAGGCTTCAACATTCCCGTTTTCCATACATTCCACGGAAAACTTTCAATTTTAAGCGTATCAGGAATAGGAACTGCAGAAACATAAAGTTCCATATTCATGTAATTTACTGTAAAAAAACTACAGAAATTACGTAGGGTACTTTACTTACCCTCACCCTGGTCTTAGCACCTCTACAACTATGCTAAAATTTCAAACAAATCGGTTCATTCGTCTTTTAAAAAAGTATCTGCGCAACTGGTTGTTCAAGGCCGTCTTTCAGATCACCTTAAGAGATTACATTAGAGCCGAATATTACATTTAGAAACGTTATAACAACTATTCGATACAATTCTTCGTTCCACAAAGAAGTAGCGTGATTGAAGCTAAGATCACATGACATTTTTTTTAGCCACCATTCAAACTAATAATTATTGGATATGGTCTAGCTATTCATCGCTGTTTGGAGATCGAACAACATAGCAGAAAACGTATACAGAAATACGGTTTTAATATATGGGCATTTTAGCTTGACGTTTATTTTTTTGCTGTGGAATCTTTTCGGAACTAGCCAGGAGTTGTCCGTTAGATTGAATGAACTCTCGGTTTCAATGAAAAACTTCGCAACAGGGATGGAATTCTGATTTCATTTTGGGCAGGGTATAAAAATACGCAAAAAGATGCGTTACAAAGTGAAAGTATATTTTACCATTTCATGTGTGGAGTTAAAATAAAGCATCTTCTGAAACGCTGAAACACTAATACACTCTCGGGTTCAATGAAAAACTTTGCAACAGGGATGGAATTCTGATTTCATCATTTTGGGCAGGGTATAAAAATACGCAAAAAGCTGCGTTACTAAGTGAAAGTATATTTTACCATTTCATGTGTGGAGTTAAAATAAAGCATCTTCTGAAACACTGAAACACTAATACACTCTCGGGTTCAATGAAAAACTTTGCAACAGGGATGGAATTCTGATTTCATTATTTTGGGCAGGATATAAAAATACGCAAAAAGCTGCGTTACTAAGTGAAAGTATATTTTACCATTTCATGTGTAGAGTTAAAATAAAGCATCTTCTGAAACACTGAAACACTAATACACTGGCGGACATGAATGCTAGGCCAGGGAAATAAGCAATTTAAATTCAAATAATTTTATAGCTTATGAAAAAATATGAACAATGTTTGGAACGATGTATGTAATAAAAATCTAGGTTGGGATTTTGGCGTCGCTCGTTTCTGCAACGAAAAATAAATACGTTAAAAAATGTCAATGTTTTACGCAGCGGGTACTTTCACCGCAAACGCTACAAAGACGGTTAGAGTTAGAGCAATACATCGGTCCGATTTTGTAGAGCATAAAATTTCTTTTAAAGAAGTCAGTGACATCCCCTGTCTATCTTCAATGGTTTGTCCATGAGAGCCGTTCGCAGGAAAACCTCAAATAAGTTGGGTTTTCACAAAAGCCTCGGAGCCATTTTAACTGTTGAATTCATTTCGGGTACGTTAATGTTACCGAAAAAAAAATCACTAAATTTGTACATTCAATGGTATGTATGAAACAAGAGATTCCATTCTTGAACTTTTTTTTTCTCCTGATTTTGATTTTTGACGGCCATTTCTTGATCATTTCTTTTCGAAATTTCATATTTTGGTAAGTAAGATATAACTTTTGACCTAATTATTGGAGCAAAATGAAAACGTATGCAATCGTTTTGTCCTTTAATGGTCCATCTTTTTGCCGTACATACGTACGGGTGTACCGCCGCTATTCGCATGTAAACAAATGAAAACATGTTTCTCGCGATTTTGAACAATCTCAGATTACTTTTAGCGCAATTTTTTTTGTTTAATTTAAGTTGTTCTGGCTGAAGAATATCTCAGTATTTCAATTTTTTAACTAGGTCATTGTGTTTACATTGTTATAAACAATTGTAATAAATTAATATTTTTTATTTTTTATGTGACCCCATTTTTTCCTCTACCCTCTTCAACGTTAAACAAATATTTGTAAAAAATGTAATACCAAAATCGATTTTTTAAATAACAGTGTTAATTTGTAACAGCTATTCATATTCTCACAGCGATGTTTCAAATTATTTGTTCTGCTCTATAGGATGGTGTTTATAGAAAATATTTTAGTAATATTTATATCATTTGTTTTATGACGTGCAGAATTCTGCCATCACAAGCCGGAGCGGAGCGATGGCGGTAAGTACCGAATTTGGTCATTATTTTATTTTAGCATCGGTTGGCGACACTCGAAGTCATCTTGAACGATCACTAGTTGTAAGTATTTGTTGTATTTGTAAGTTTTATTATAGGTCTTGTTAGGTATTATGGTTTCGAGGCCGATAGGCCTGTGGAATTTCATAATTCAGATCATTGCCCTACCGCTCCGAATCGAAGAGGTCGGTTCGGAGGAAAGACTTCCATCTCGCGGACAATAAGTGCAATTCTTGGTGGAATTCGGATATTTAACCCTTTTAGTGCCGGAGGCCGATATATCGGCCCTCGCTGCACTGGCGAAAAGTGCCAGAGCCGATATGTGCCCATAATTATGAAAGTGGTCTAAGTCATATATTTTTTGTTTCGAAATTACATTGAATTAATTTAGTTTGAAATAATGTGGCGTGAAATAACTGATAAACTCATTTTTTTTTTTCAATTTTGACTTAGACCACTTTCATAATTATGGGCACATATATCGGCACGCACCTTGTATCGCTTTACTATTCGCTTTGCGAGAGATCTCTATCTCAAAATAAATTTTTAATACGTTATAAATAGTCTAATTTCATTACGAGAGAATTAAAATAACAATACGACAACACCTATAACAACCTATAACCTACCTGTAACAACCTATAACCTATAACAATTACTTGTTTCGGATGAGTTAATCCGTCCGGCGCCTCCCATGTGCCTTGGAGTTATTTTTCATGTTTCTTGTGCAATATTACTTATTTTGTTAAAAAATATATTGGAAATTTTAAGTATATACTTTGCAATAAACGGTCTATATAAATTTATGATAAAAAGATGACTTTTCCTATGTGCAATTACGTTTTGAAACAGAGAACTCAATTTTTCTTCTTTTTTTTTTTGATCACTTATACCTTTGTTATTTATGTAATTTTCAATGAATATAGAAAAATTAGCGTCACTGTTTTATTCTCTATTTTGTCCTTAATACCCTGCTTTTTGAATTATGTAAATATTGCCTTTCGTTTGGTTTATATGAGCCTTTTCCAAATCCTAGTAAAATCGTACAATTCGGCCGGTTATCGCACCCATTTTTTTTTTTATTAGAAACTTTTGTTATTTTTCGAGTCATTTTGGAAGTATACGACGTCAAACGGTTAAATGTGCATAACATTCAATAACAAAATTATATACGCATACAGTTACATTTTAACGGACTTCCTACGGAATGAAATATATGTGATATCGATAGAGGAATGTAAAAAATATATTTTTTGACGTTAACACAATTTTTGATAGAAAATTGTTACAAACAAATGATATAAATATAGCTAATATATTTTCTTTATAATCACCATCTTGTGAAACAGAACAAATAATTTGATGTATCCCTTTGAGAATGTGAGAAACTGTTGTAAATGTGTATTGTTATTTCAAAAATCGATTTTGGCATTACAAATTTTAAAAATTTGTTTAATATTGAAGATTATAAAGGAAGAAAATAAAAGAAGAAATTCATTCAAATCAAAAGTAAAAAATATTAATTTATCGCAGTTGTTTATAACGATTTAAAGACAATGGTCTAATTGAACAAACTTTCACATCACCTTAATATATAGGCTGACCCTTTCATATCACCTCAAAGGATGGAACGGTTGCATTCGGTTCCATTTCGCTTCGATGATTAAGTCAAAAGTTACATACAATTTGCCAAAAAACGAAATTTCGAAAAGAAATGATCAAGAAATGGCCGTCAAAAATCAAAATCAGGAGAAAAAAAGTTCAAGAATGGAATTTCTTGTTTCATACATACCA